TCCTCTCACCCTCCACATCTCTGGCCTGTACCCCAGTTCTATATGAATAAATAAATCTTTAAAAATAAATAAATAAATAAAATTTAAAAATATCCCTTTCCAATGTGCCCACCCCTCCATCCCTGTGCTCTTTAGCTTCATCTTCTCATAAAAATGTGGGACTTGGAATATGCACCTTGTGAAAAGAAGAAAACCATTCCTGCCTGGAGGCTTCGGGGAAAGTCAAAACTCACGCTTATTTTCTCTTGCTCCACTGTCTCTTCCTCTAGGTCGGACTCATCTCTGGCATGGTCTTTGTGATTCTTGGCTTGACTGTTCTAGCAGTGGGCTTTGCAGTGCCCCCGAAAATCGAAGCCTTTGGTGAAGCTGATTTCGTGGTGGTTGACACACACGCTGTCCAGTTCAACGGGGCCTTGGACATGTGCAAGCTGGCGGGAGCTGTTCTCTTCTGCATCGGGGGTACCTCCATGGCAGGCTGTCTGCTCATGTCAGTGTTCGCCAAAAGTTACTCCAAAGAAGAGAAATTCCTCCAGCAAAAGTTTAAAGAGCGGATCGCAGACATCAAGGCGCAAACTCCACCCATCACAAAAGCTCCAGGCCCAGGAGAAACAAAGATCCCGGTCACTCTGTCCAAGGTTCAGAATGTCCAGCCCATCTCGACAACCTGAAGCCCTTTCCACCTGGGTCCTCCCCCTCCTAAGTTATACACATGGTTAGGACGGAGCAGGCCAGTTTCAGGGTGACAGGGATTTGAATGGGTCTTGTTCCAGAGCCAGCAGCACATCTGACGGCAGCAGAAGTGAGCTCACGCTCGCTCGGGGCAGGTGGATCTGGTCTGGGTTGAAGCCATGTGTGTGTGTGTGTGTGTGTACCTGTGCACACCACCCAGATCTTTGAGGGGCGCTCCTAGGTGCCCCCAAGAGCCCTCTGGAACCCCTCTCATATATTGTGACTTTGTGTCCTTCTCTGTGTTACTGGAAAGAGCTGAACCGTCTAGACCAGCCCCCCAATGTCTGTTTTATTTTCTAATAATGGTTTTTCTAACTTTCCTGTGTGGCGCCGCCTTCCTGTCTCAGTATGTACGTGTTCATAGAAAAACTGAGTTTCCTCATCTTGACCCAAACCTTAGTCCTCAAACTGCATCTAAACCTGAGGTTTCTGAGATTGGTTATCTGCATTCTCGGGTTGACTGTTCTAGCAGTGGGCTTTGTGGTACACCCCCAAAATCGAAGCCTTTCGTGAAGCTGATTTTTGTGGTTTTGCTTTCTCTACTTTTGTTTGGACTTAAGAAGCTAAAATTGCCAACTTCAGCATCTTACATAAGACATTAATACAAATAGTGTCTACTTATGCAATGTCCCAAAGTCAAGAAATTTGAGTTCCAACTATTAATCAGCGGTGTGACCTTGGAGAAATCATTTAACCTCCTCGGTATCAGGTTCCTCAGCTGCATAAGGGGGGTCCTGGATTGTGATGTCTGAGATTTCTTGCCACATGTCATCATGTCCCTCCACACCCACCCCAGGATATGTGAACCATCCTTGTGGTTCTCACTACAGTGGGTTTGTTCAGACCTGAACTTCCAGAAAGTTACCAAGTCAGCAGCCTCCACGTTGCCTACCCTTAAACATCTGACCCAGCAGTTTATACAATGCTATCCTATTTTTATAAAGACAAAAGTAAGCCATTCTCAAATAGGAAACCCCTGAGTAGATATTAACTTTAAAAAAGGGTTTTCTTTCTCAAATATGACACATTACTCTCCAGCAAGACATTCATCTCATCCCTTCAGACTTTTATTTAATCTGTGGATTTTAATCAGACTGAGGAAGATGAAAGTTGTGACCTTGGTATTCTCTCAGAATCTGTGCCATCTTCAAATCCTGTCTTTTTTTATTTTCTCCTTCACTGGATAAATAAAATATGTGAACAAGTGAAACCTGAATTGCTCTGTCATTCCTTCAGTGTGGCTCGTTTCTCTCCAACATGTAATTTTCCATTCTGAGGCTGAATAGTCTTTGATGTTCCCCTGGCTAAGTGAGAGAATAAATGAAGTAATTAGTGTTCTCTGTGCACACTGTTTATTTTGCACAGTCCAGCATAAAACACAGGACAAATCAGCATCCTCACCAAGGATCACTGGCCAGATTCAGGAGAAACTGTTCCAATTTCCTCAGGTTCTTACCTTCCTGTAGCAATACCATTTTAATTTTGCTCCACGAAGCAATATACAAGCCCCCAAGCATCTGTTCAAGGCAACATCATTGGAAGTTTTCCACGCTGGCTTCTGCCTGTGTACCATGAATCTTTGAGGATGACAGCTGACTTTAAACATCTCTAGAATGAAAAGTAGTAGCTGTGGGCTGGGGAAATTTTCAGAACAGGCATGCTAGCAACCATAAAAATGTATATATAGATTCTACTTTTCAAACCTGAAAGAAGCCCAGGTGGATACAGAAGGAGCTGGGTCAGAAAGCAATTCATTGTGCCCTGTATTTTCTGTCCTGCCCAGGTTTTATGGAAATGGGTATATGTAAGGATCCTCCCAGGTCCTGAAAGACGAAGTGAGGGACGCTGTAGAGAAGCAGAGGAAGGAAGTTGGATGGCACTAGGAAATGCAGTCTGATCTGTGGATAGAAACAGCTTGTGTGGAATCAGAAGACAGGGAGCAACAGACTAAAGTTTGTTTGTTTGCTCTCTCTATCTTTACTGTGTAGCCTAAGTATTTGTTATTTTATATATTTTTACGTCATTATTCATTTTTGTACAGTGTATGCGTTTTCATTTCGGTTGCAGTCCCCTGTGCTCTTTGCACCCCTGTTTTGATCCCACTTTCACTCTCTCCCCTGTAGAATATCTCCAGCTTATAGTTGCCTGTTGATTTTGGCTTTTACTTTATTATACTTTTTTTCCCCTGATCCCTTATTTGAACCCTCTATATTCATACATCCATTAGTGAACCTGTCTGGTATTTTTCTCTCTATTTCGCTAAGCATGATCCCTTCCTGCTCCATCCATGTTGCCACAAATGGCATGAGTTGATCTTTTTGATTGCTAAGTATATTCCATTGTGTATATGTACCACATCTCTTGATCCAGTCATCTAGTTGGGGTATTTGGGTTGTTTTCATAGCTTACCTATTGTAAACAGTGCTGCAGTAAACATAGGCGACCTTTTGAATTAACATTTTTGTGCCCTTTGGGTAGATACCTAGGAGTGGGATTGCTGGGTCATAGGGAAGCTCCATTTTTAGCAGTTTGAGGAATATCCAAACAGTTTTCCATAGTGGTTGGACCAGTTTGCATTCCCATCAGCAGTGTAGGAGAGTTCCTTTTTCTCCACATCCTCGCCAACATTTGTTGTTGCTAGTTGTTTTGTTTTTGTTTTTTTACTATGTGCCATTCTCACTGGTGTGAGATATTATCTCACTGTGGTTTTGCTTTATATTTATTTCCTGGATTACAAGTGATGTCGAACATATGCCTGTTGGCCATTTGCATTTCTCTTTGAAGTGAAAAGACTAAAGATTTTAAAGGGATTTTCAGGTCTGATTGGGTAGACAACAGTGGTATGGCAAACCAGAATGGCTTTAGAGCCTTGGTCTCAGCCTGTTTGCTTGTATCTAACTGATCCTTCCTTTCAGTATTGAACATTCTAAAGCAAGTGACAGTGCATACCTAGAGATGGAGAAGAAGAAGGGGGTCAGGGAAGGACAGCTGTGACTGCAACTGAAAATAGTTATAAATGACATATGAGCATAAGTACATGGAGTGGACTGAAACCTTATGATATTGCTAGTGTGTGACCAAGGGTTATTAAGAAACCCTACATTATTAAGGGGTGCATGCTCTATAAAGAGATCCGTGTGCACAAAGGCAAAGGAAGTAGACTCTTAACTCTTAACATGAGGATCTTTGATAAAATGAATGTGCAAAAGAAAGAGTATTTCTAATAAAACTTCAAAAATTAGCCATCTTGAGCCCTCCCTAGTGGCTCACAGGTTAAAGCACAGCACTAAGAAGCTAAAGCCACTTCTGCATGAGTTCAAACCCCGCACACCCCTGGGGTGACCCACATGGCACAGCAGACCTCTCCTGACCCGCCCGCTGCTCCCCTCAGCAGTGTACTTTGTCGATCTGTCTGTTCTGCTCCCCACTCTGTCTCCGGTGAATCCGCTCAACATCCCTGCCTCTCTGGCCTGTACCTCAGTTCAGTATGCATAAATAAATTAATCTTTTTTTAAAAAAGTGTCCCGGAACAAAGCTCTTCCCAATTCAACATTCAGGAGACTGGAGGCGGTCTGGTCTAATGGCTAACAAGTCACTGTTGCAGCTAAAAGCAAAACCTTCCCGCCGGCAAGACTGTTCACTGGCGTACCACTACCAAACATGTTTCTGACAAAGATTGGGGGGGGGATGGGGGAAACTGGGTAAGTTCTTGTGAAATTTTAGGAAATGAGCAAAAAAAAGAAGCCATCAAGCTTTCAGTGTGAACCAGACCACTACAGAATAAAAAAGACTGGAAAATAAGAACAGCTGTTGTTCGCCATGTGACAACATTCTTACGCATGTTTGCCTTTATTTATTTATTTTTTCATCAGGGTAACATTTACAATATCATAGATGACAGAAGGATAGGTTCACACTTCCGTGGTACAGCCCACCACACCAGCCCCACCATTCATGCATCCACAGTCCTTGAACCTAGACCACTATGTCCTGTCCCCTTGTTTAGTAACCTCAATTCTACCATCTTATTCCAAGGTTTGTTTTAGCATCATCTTGTCTGGTCCTTTGTTTTGGTTCTCTGTATTCTACATATGAGAGAAATCATCTGGCATCTGTTGTGCATTTATTTTATTTGCATTTAGTTAAAATTTAAAAGAATTCTAAGGGTGACCGCTACTACTTTCTTGGTTTTCAGATAAAGTGTAGGCTCAGAGAGATGAAGTAATTCATCCATGAACATGTGACCAGAAAGTGATCGAACTAACCTTTCCACCAAAGTAGGCTGATGCACTGCATCCCCTTCTCTGACTAAGTTCTGTTAGAAACGATGCAACTGTAGGGTTGTCCCCATGGCCTAGGAGTTAAGTCTCAGTGCTGTCACCTTTATGGCCTGAGTTTGATCCCCGGTCAGGGAGCTGACCCACATGGCGCAGCAGACCTCTCTTGTTTCACCCACTGCTCCCCTCAGCGTTATATTTCAGTAGATCCACCTGTTCTACTCCCCACTCTGTCTCTGGTAAATCCTCTTACCCACCTCTCACACCTCTGACCTATACCCCAGTTCTTCTACTCAGAATTAAAATTTCAAAAGAGGATGAGAATCTCTCGCTACACTTCATCTCAGCTTAAGCACGACCTTTATCACTGTGCATGATATTTCCATAAAGTAGCGGGCAGGAAATGATACATACAGATGCTACAACTATGTGGGGATTCAGTCTAAAACACTGCAAACAAGAAAGGTAAGATTGCCTCTGAACTCAACCACTGAGTTTACAGAAAGTCAACCCAGAGAGTATTTCTGTTTTCCTAGAAAGCTTACGGAGAGTAAATCTGCTAATACGCGCGCTCCTTGAAGGTGGTACTGTCACAGCCTGGTCCCCAGGAAAAGGGGAGGTTCCAGGTTCCCTGACTCACCCAAAGGATGGTGGAGCTGAGCAGGGAGGAGAAGAATCTGGAGAGGAGACTGAAGAGAAAGGAGTCAGAAGGAGGCCTGACAGAGGCACACGGGGCAGAGAGACATGTGAAGAAGCAGCTTTTGTTTCTTGGACCTGCTTCACTATAGCAGCTTTCGTCTTGATTTTGATATTGCTCTTTTCCTCCCAGACTTGTCTGACTGTTTCTGACCCTTTCTTATGTGTCCCCGCCAGGGCTTTCAGGCCTTGTTTGGGGCCTATCCCTTTTGTGTGGACTTTTACCCACTAGGGGATGGGTAACTTTGGGTGTCTGATTTAGAAACTATATTCTTTGTTTTTTCTCTGTTGCATACCAATTGTATTAAAGTTCCTTTCCATCCAAGGTCATCTATGTTTTGTGTTGATACAGCAGATGTCAGAACATATTTAGAGCGGGCAGATTTGGGGATGTCCCTTCCCCTGTCCTGTAACAGTACCTACTCATATTTCTCTCCAACATCTAGAACAGTTCACAGTAGAAGCTCAAGGTCTTTGTTGAATTTCAGTTCTCTAGCACAAAATGCTGCAATAATTCACTGTTCTTCCTACCCAATCTCCTGATGACTCCCTATGATACTGGTAAGAATCATGTTTCTGGCGCTGTACCTGAATCCCTTGCATGCTTTGACCTATCCTAAAATGACTTTACTGCGATTCCCAGGAGGTAATAGTGCTCAAAATCTATGGGAAGCTTGTGCATTTTAACTATGCAGACATAACCCCAACAGGGATTGAGGAAGATGACAGAGCAGAAGGGTTAAGCACACGATCTGAGTCAGACTGTGCAAATCTTTGCAAACTACAGAACTTTAAACTATTACAACTATCTGTACCTCCACTTCCTTATCTATCAAGAATTAGAGTTCTCCATGACCAGCACACCATGGTTCATGGTCCCAAGAAGTATCTGAAACCAGTCACAGCTCCAAAGCATTGGACATTGGGTAAACTGAGAAGAGCGTTTGTTCCTCTTCCATTACCCAAAGTTCACAGCTGAGAAAATGTTTTCATCTCTTTCCTAAGGCAGAGAATTAACGATGCTCTAACACAAGATGAGATGAAAAAGATCTGTATCTGGCTGTTTATTAAGATTGATGGCAGGTCACACTAATACAACCTATCCTGCTGGTTAATTAGATGTCAACAACATTGACAAGACTGGAGAGAATTTCCAGCTGATCTATGATACCAAAGGTTGCGTGGTTGTTCATTTCCTTACAACCAAGGAGACTGAGGACAAGTTATGCAAAACAAGAAGGATCTTTGTGGACACCAAAGAAATCCCTCACATGGTGA